AGAATTTGGGGAAATAATTTTAAACCTTGTTCTAAAAAGGTTTAGGTCAACAACTTCCAAGTATGGAGATCAAATCAAACCAACATGTTTTACATTGACCAAATTTGTAATGCCTCTCTACTCAAGAGGAAATTCACAGAACTTACTAATCTCACTTTTACAGTCAACATCCTCAATGAAATTAGTTCTTAGTATATTCAATAGAGATGTCAAACTACAACTTTGGTAGTTAGGAAGACATGTCGAATTACGTGTAGTTTATTGTTTGGTAATACATTCCGAATGGAAAAAGTATATCACATTTCATTTATCATTGCATTATTTACCAAAAATATATAAATTTAGCTTTTCAGAATACAGAAACCCAACATTTTTATGATAAATATGCTTGTCATATGGTTACATGTTGGTATAATCAGATCGAACACTATATCACATCAAATTTCACATCTGTATCGCAGCTACGACAGAACTAATTACAGAGCAACCAAATAGGTAATTACCGGTTTACTGCAACAGTTAAATGTATCAAAGGGTGGATAATTTTTATACTCTACAACCACCTTAGAGGCACACAAAGTACAGAACCAACAAATGTTTTCTTTGTTTGCTCTTTTGTTATAACCTGCCAACTGCAAAAAAAACGGGGAGGTTTACGTTAGAGTCAATTATAAAAATGAATGAAACTAATAGGCAGACTCGTGTAGTTTTTCTTTTGTTTTTTTTTTAACTTGGACAGTATCGTTTGCTCGTAATTGTTAAAGTATATACAAAGCGTGTTAATTATAGTCCGTTACACGTATGAACACAAAAGTTAATAGAACTATTGTTTAAATGTTACAGCTTTTTTAACTTTAGCTGTATTTTTTGTCCAAAATCTAGTATTCAAAATAACATCGTATAATTGAGTGTAGCAAAACATCTACGCTAAATCAAACCTTTCATTGGTTAGTTTCCATATGAGGAAAAGGTTACCCGGTAGTTAGTGATAAGATTCCGGACATACAATGCCAAAATCCGGGGTTTGATTTCCCATGGTGGACAGAGAGCAGGTAGCCCATTATGTAGCTTTGCGCTAAAACAACCAACAGCAACAACTTGAAAATACTTAAAAATGAAAGGTTGATTCTTTCAGTAGTCGACTTAATTGCGGGAAAAAATATTCACAACACATCAAAATTCGCGTTACGACGTTCTTTCTTTTTTTATTCGGAGGGGGGTGTTCTCGTTACAAAAAAAAACTAATTTCACCCCACCTCCTTTTTTTTTTAGAGCTAAACTGGCGTTCCTCTGATAGTGTTAGTGGCAAAAGTAACTACTAAATTAAAGCATTTTTTCCAGAAATCGTAGTTTTTTTTCTTTCTACTGCTGTTTGGGACACATTTAACTGGTCTTTCCACATCTCCATCTAATATTCTTTGTATTTGAACCTATAATCTTATTAATTCACATATCGCTTGCATGTAGAAGTAGTTCAATCTACGATAACGTTTCCGAACAGTGTATGAATCATGAATTCAAGTAAAAGAAATTAATCAACTAACGATCAAGCTACTAACAACTTTTACAAACTCATTATATATATTTTACAGTCACGGTATCAAGCAGCTGCAGACTCCATGGATTTTATGTGCAGTTCCTAAAAGCCTAACATGAGAATTCTCATTAAAGCAAGACTTGCTAACTTCAGCTATGAGTTTGATTGCATCAATGCTAATCAGTGTTGTAACCTCGTCGTGTTTTTGTTTTGGTTCATTTACGGCGTATTAATCAATACCGTTTTCAAATTGTACACACTTCAATGATAGAAACGACGAAGAAGGCATCTGGATCAAAAGTGGAATAACTTCTTTTCTATAATCGATACAAACAAATGTAAAATTTAACTTGTAACCAAATATTCTGCCATTACAAAAGTTTATCGTTCTGTTTCAATCATGGAGCGGTTTGTACCTGTGGTAGGACTCTGGATTTCTGAGCTGGAGAGACTAGAATCCGTACGACACCACAAGATTTGGTTTGGTTTCTTTGGAAGTTCGCGCAAAGCTACACGAGAGCTATCTGCGCTAGCCGTCCCTAATTTACCAGTGAAAAACTAGAGGGAAGGCAGCTAGGCATCACCTTCCACCGCTAACTCTTGGGCTGCTCTTTTACCAACGAATAGTGGGATTGATCGTCACATTATAACGCCCCCACCGCTGATTGTCATACTGGGCCAAGACCACAAGATATTCTACACGCTTTAAGCTGTGGGTACATTATAAAAGAGACAGTTATTTTCCTAGCGTAACTCGCGGTCGTGGGTGGTAGGGTGTAGCAAGTAGCCAAAATTAGGGACGGGGGAAGATAATATATATATATATAAATACAAAATAAAGGTAATATTGCAGTATTAGTCGTTCCAGTTCTGTAAAAAAATTAAAAATAATAATAAGATGAATATTGGAGAACCATTTTTTCATATTATATCTAAGGAAGAAGACATTAGTTAATTAGAGCGCACGAAGATAGTCAAAACGGTCGAAAGTTTATCAGAAACTCCTAATCAATGTATAGAGGTGTAAAAACCTCAGTATATGAAACCGATGATTTAATGCATCTAAATTCAGATAATCAAAACGATGGAAAGTTTATCAGAAACTTCTAGTCAAGGTATAGAGGTGTAAAAACCTCAATATATGAAACCGATGATTTAATGCATCTGAATATAGTCAAAACGGTGGAAATTTTATCAGAAACTCCTAATCAATGTATAGAGGTGTAAAAACCTCAGTATATGAAACCGATGATTTAATGCATCTGAAGATAGTCAAAACGGTGGAAAGTTTATCAGAAACTTCTAGTCAAGGTATAGAGGTGTAAAACCTCAATATATATGAAACCGATGATTTAATGCATCTGAAGATAGTCAAAACTGTTATTTATCATCGGAAACTTTCTCTACCCAATAAAGAATCGAAAGAATAAGTCTTAGACTCAACTTTCTGACAAACTATTTAGATTATTTTAATAATGACCTAGTTTTTAATATCAAATATACTAAGAAGTGGTCGTGGTTGAATTTAGAACATTCGTGTAAAGCTAAACGAGAACCACCTGTGTAAACCCGTCCCTAATTTTTAATCAGAGAAAGGGACGCTACTGAACAGAAACACCTCTTTGGCTACTCTTGTCTTGTTAAATAGTGGGATTTGACAGTCACTCTAATACCGCATCCACTGCCCCAACGTGTGAACAGCGAGTGTGCAGGAACGGGACGCGAACAAAAATTGCGCGAATCATATTATGAAACGCTAAAGCACTTGACCACGCCCTGTCCATACTAAACGGACCACGTGACAATATTTTAGGTAATATTTTTTCGCCTTCCTTACTAATTTCTTCGTTCGACTGTTTAGTTAAAAACTAGATTTTACGATGCATAGTTTAAATGGTCTAGTATAGGCCCACATGTGAACTTGAATGCATACAGTTCAAAGCTGTTATTGACAATGACAAATAAGTCACTGTGTCACTTATACTAATATTTCATGGTCATATAATATATTTCTTTCTCCAATCTCGAAACAAATGCTATTATATCAATAGTTCAACTAATAGCAAATTATATCAAAATTTACGTCGCCATAGAAACCAACGACGCACAACAAAACGACAATAAATTCAAATCGTCCCGTAAATTGCAATATCCATGTTCATTTATTATAATTATTATTAACATATCACTTTATAGAAAAATAAATGCGAGGCGTCAGGAACGCGTTCAGCTGTGCTCTCGTTCACGTGAAGCATTCGCGCGTGGCGTTCCAAATGTGTTCCTACTGATTTTCACCTGCTTTCCGCACTGAACGAGAGGAATAATAGGGTTTTTGTACTGAATTCAAAGATTTTTTGCAGTTCACGATCCCTCGTTATATCAAACTAAAAAGAAAAAGGGTGCCTTGATTTGTTTTTTGTTTACTTGTTACCGTAACATTTTCCTAGTTTACAATCCACTCAGCGCACATTTTTTATTTTGTTTTGTTTACTTGTTACCGTAACATTTTCT